TATAATGAAAATAAAATACGATCGATCATATTAATAAATAATAATTCAAGAAGTTAAAACACGGTATACATGTAGTTAAAGCAAAATTGAATGGAGGAATTTAAGTAATTGTAGAAGTCCAAAGTTCTGTAGAACTACGCGGCTGTCCTTTTTGTATTGTTTCAATATTAAGCCATATTCTTGAACTGGATAATGAGTTTCTTTTCAGACCACTTGCCTTTATGGATGTGAAACTTGCCATGTAGTAAAACGATTTAATATAAAAAATATGACTTGTGTCCATGTCATTTCCCCATAGTAAATAAAAACTAAATCACGTTGTTTGTCTTTTTGTTGCCCAACTATAGGGGGAATTAAATTTACACAGTGTACTCACAAATTACCCAAGGAATGACATAAACCGAAATAAGTGAAAAGGTTTCAAGTATGTATTTTGTGTGAACACATAATCGTTGTCATACAAATCTGAAAGAAAGCAGTTGCGGCAATCAAGCCACCCATCTAAAGCAGATGCAGAAAAACAAAAGAACCCGACTGTAAGTACATTAACATTATTAGTCTTAACTCTTAAATAACGCCTTTCATATTTCAAGTTTTTCCTTCATTTTCCAAAGAAGTCTCAGGTGTAAAGGTATAACGGAAGTACAGATACACTGCTTTGCGGGAAAGCGGAAGTTAGCTGACGTCACTGTGAAAAGGGCCTATTATGTCATTATGGTTATCAGCTGTTATCTTGGCGTCGTGTTCATCTCTTTTTGCAGAGTAAACCGATCACACCCACCTCAGCTCCTGATGAAGGCGATATCTTCAGTGAGGAGGGCTCGTACGTCAGGAGCGATGTCCATCACACCACTAATGGCCTTCACTCTGATGAAGAGCTGGATCTGTTCACTGGTATTTCACTCCATCGCTGCACCATGACTCGTAATGAGCAATAAATTCGCAATGACACTTGATTTGACATGCAGGCCAGATGGGAGCTGAACTGCATGTTGGAGAACATAATGCATTCAATCTTTGACTTTAAAATAGCGTGGCAGGCTGAAACAGATCACTTAAAAATGCTATATCGATTTTAAAAAGTACTGAAAATTGTACTTGAGTATATTAACAATGTCAAAAAGTGTGCTCAGTTAAAATGAGCAAAAAAGTACTTGAGTGGAAGTAAAAATTATCCATATTTAATTGAACTTGGGTATTTAAAAGTAAGAAGTAAATACGTTTCTTAGCTTCAAATTGGTGTTTGAAAACAAGAGACAGTAAAGATGTTCTAATTTTAGTATTTTTGATGCAGAAACTTTCTAAAGAAACTGTCAAAAATAATATTTTCTTATTATTGTTCTATGTAAGAATCTAGGGCACAGCAGATGTTAAACTGAAACCAGTATCCTGAAAGCTTTTGCATGAATGTTCTCAGCTAAAGTTGTCAGCAGATGATTTTACAAACATTTGAATAGTGATTTTTAGTGGTTGTAAAAACACTGAAGTATGTGTCTGAAACGGATAGCTTGAGTACACGATTGACTGGCGTCACATTTGGATATATATTTTTAAATCATTGAGGAAATATTTAAGTCATGATATGTCATTTTAAGAATTTGTAATGAAGTAAAATGCTATTATTTTTCAAAATAATTGTATACTAAAGTATAATGGTGTAATGCTATTACTCACTTCACACCTCTGTGCTTTATTGCTCTCTCTGTTCAATCACTAGAGGCCACTGTAGAGCTGACACTCACTAACACCACCAGTCAAGGCAGGAGAGAGATTATTGGCCCGACCGCATCGGCTTGCAACACCACACATGTCCCTAATTCCATACTCAAACCCAGCATTGTCACCAAAACCATGGAGGAGGTACTCAAACAAGACCCTTCAGTTGCATTCATGTAATATTTATATAGATTTGTAATTCTAACTGAATGCTGATCAACTTCAACAGTTGGAGGAGGAAGAGAGTGGAGACCAGTTTGAACTGAACATTGCAGTCACTAATCCAGAGAAAATTGGTTTGTATTATGCAATTTATTAAAATTTTTCACAGTGTAGGTACATAACAAGAAGAATAATAAATTGAAGTAAACTGTGAAATGATTTGCGCTACAAGCCAGTGAGTGATTAAGATTCCTCATTTGTGAGTCACTTTGGATAAAAAGCATCTGCTAAATGAATAAATATAAACATAATAAAATAATATGATCATGGATAACAGTTTGCAGCATCAAGTAGCATAAATAACTGATTTTTTACACCTAAAATAACTAGAAGCCACTGACACATTGCCCACTTATACTTTAAAAAGGGGGATAACTTGCATCAAAATTTTCTAGATCAGTGTTTCTCAACCAGTTGCCCACTAGGGGACCCCAGCAAACATCCAATGGAGCTTATTTTAAAAAGGGAGTTTTTTTGAGATAAGTATTTGTTTTTCTTACTTTTATTTATTAAAATCTGATTAAGATTGCATTAAGAAATACAATTAATGAGTTCTTAAAACTTCTGAAATCAAACAAATTAATCATAATTAATTATTCTGTTGACACTCAGAAAACAAGCAGGTTTGTATTTATTACAGCACTATTAATAGAGAAAATATCTTAGTCTACATGTGTGGGCCTTCAAATATTTCCTTGGACATTGAGAAGCACTGGTCTAGATTCAGCCTCTTGTTCTGGATGTTGAGAGCTATAGTGACCGAATTCTTCTATGTTATTGTGTTGCAGGAGATGGCATGAATGCCTACATGTCTTACAAAGTGTCGACACAGGTACACAAAAGCTTATCCCTATTACCATTTTTGGATTGATCAAGCTACATAAATCAGCATTATGCCCCTTTTCCATGCTTCTCTCTCTATCTCCAGACTACACTGCCCATGTTCCTTAATAAGATGTTCTCCGTACGTCGACGTTTCAGTGATTTTCTGGGACTTTATGAGACGATATCGGCCAAACACTCTCTGCTGGGCTGCATCATTCCACCTCCACCTCAGAAGAGTGTAGTTGGTAAAGAATTTCTCATGCTCACTCTGGCTCCTTCCTTGTCTAGTGGAGTACAATAGCCTGGATCCATGAGAATGTTTACTCTGAGCTCTCTGTTGGCTCTTACTTGCATCATTTTGCTCGGAGCAGTCCGGTGTGATTTGCTGACTGAGCGTGTGGTTTGGTGTTGTGTCACAGGGATGACTAAAGTGAAGGTAGGGAAGGAGGATTCATCCTCAGCGGAGTTTGTGGAAAAGAGACGAGCAGCACTGGAGAGGTGAACACAAGCCTAATTAGACATACACATAAAATAGAAGTTCACAAATTGCATTTTTTTCGTGATATTGATAACTTGGGTGTTTTGGGGCGTTTTGTAGCCCAAAATGTATGAAATCCCAGGTGCAACCAAACAATCCCTATAAAAACCAGAAAAAAGAAAGCGCTGATTTGATTGTTAATGCAACAGATTTAGACACCACAAACCATTAGGAGTTAGGAGTGGTTTCATTTTTATTTTGCAGTCATACCCTAGAACTAGGGATGTACTCGTTAAAATGCCCCGATACCAAACGCCGATACCACACAGCATGTGATAAGTGCCATATTCAGACAAAGAAACACCGACAACAGAACAACAGACAGCAGAATGGAGTTAAGGATGTCTACTACGAAGTATATGTATGCAATGAATATAATGTTAAACATTCAGTGTTAACGCCTGTATAGCTGATGTGCGCGAGCTGATAAACAAAGCACGCTGAGTGGATTGAGCGCGCGGCGGCGCAGATGCGCGAGCTTGTCGAGTGAATATA